TCAACCCTGAGCCAGTGAGATTTGAACAGCCGAACTGCAGTCAGCTGAAGTAGCCTGCAGTGCTGCATTTAACCACTGCACCACCTCGGCTCTTAATCTGATGGTGGTACAATCTGATGGTGGTACTGTCTACCCCACGTTGTTCTCTCTTACCAAGAAGTAGGTTGTGGTCAAATGCCTTGCTGAAGTCCAAGTAAATTAGATCCACCGCATTTTGCTGATCCATTAATTTATTTTGTCAAAAAAGGTAATAAGGCTGGTTTGATATGATGTTTTTAACGACCCATGCTGGCTTCTAGTAATCATCTTCTTTGTTTCTAGGTGCTATCCTATCCTCCACTTCACTTTCCTTCAGAAAGTACTCAGATGTGTTTGGCTGTTAAGATTCTCCAAATCTCACGTGTGAAATTGTGAGAAAGCTTGTTCAAGTCACACCAGTAAAATATATACGAATACTCACCAAAAAAAAACCCCAATTACATCATACAGAAAACATTGGATAAAGATCTGAGATTTAATATGAGATTTGTATTTAAAATGTACATATTGCTAAAAATTATGATGTAACATATATACAAATAGATAGCTATTTCTAAAGAGCTCAAATACACTAGGCTTTTTCATTGTTACTAGTGGCATTCAGAATACGCCCTGGCTTAGTTGTAACATTCAATCAATTGAAGGTTTTGAAATGGCTTGTGCAACATAGCAAAGCCTTTGGAAAATTGCTAACTCCTTAGCAATCAAATTATATGTGAAATCTTAACATGATTGTTGTAACTTTCTGATTTAGACCGCAACATGTTTTTTAGTATAAAATTATAAATTTATTTTGATTGAATCTCAAATTTTATTAAATGCTTTCAGCAAAGTGTAAAAAAATGTCTACATTAATATGACACAAGAGTAAGAAAGTGCAACTTCAAACAAAATGAACTCAGAAAAACCTTTCTACAAATTAAAACAATTGTTTGTGCTTATATTAGCTTAATTCACTATAAATAATTAAATTGTTGTGAACAAAAGGGATTAACAATATGTTCCCTTTAGACTCATCTCCCCTGAGAGCTAGTGATTGTTAAAACAATACTTCTTCTAAGGCAAATCTTGATAAGCTTCAAGAGATTTACAATGTGATTTATATACATATCTTTCTACTTACTTCAATAAATCATATTTCCATATAAAAATGGAAGCCTGAAATTTAGCTGAAAGCTGCTCCAAATTTACATTACATTGGACATCTTCTGCCTTAATTTAAGATCTCAGCTCAATGTGCCGTTTTTTCTGGATTATGTTACTTTCAACTTGATTGCTGCCTTACTTTTAAAAAAAATCACCATTGATAAAATGGTGTATCTCCAAAGGCTGAATGATAGAAAGAAGACTGAGCTGAAACTATGTATTTTATTCCTGTTAGGCAGCAAGGTTATATTCTAATTAATGAATATTCTGAAACATAATTTCCTGGCAGAATCCAGGAAAAAAGACCAACGCCATTGTTCCAAATATCCTGGTACCCCATTAATTACATCATAGATGAAGTGAGCCATGGTGCAGGTTCTTGTCTAGCCATGCAGTCCTTGGGCTTGATTGTTTGCTTCATTTATTTTGTGTTATTGTTTCATAGTTGTTTTATTACCAGACTGGGTAACATCTTCAGTGCCTGTCCAATCATTTCTTGTCCAAATCAATGTCCAAACTAATTCAAGTCCTTGTCTAATCACTTGGAGAAACTATAAGATCTATGCCACTAGAGAAATTACTAAACTACAAATAACCCCCTAAGGAATTTCTTTAGCTAATACTTCATTTGAGAGAATATGAAACCAGAATATTAAGGCATGAAATGAAATTACTTTTCAAACACCCTAAAGCATCATAGATCAGTTTTATACATGTGCAAATTGTATTTTCACAGACATATAGTGCAAAATTCTACAAAGGAAATACATAAAACCATAAGTAATCAAAACTCGTTCAGTTCATCACAGTGATATGACAAATCTCCAACTTCAGCTTGAAGAGGTAGGTTCTGAACTTCATCCTTGGATAAAAAAAAGTTCCTCCCCATTTCTTCTTTAGAAATCCTTCCCTCGCCCCAAGTCTGAGTTCAGAGTTCAGAGTGGTTCAGAGCGGGCAGAGAGGCATCTTCTGGGTTTGAAACCAATTTAAGTGGCACCTTCCCAATCCAACATTTAATTGCCCTCTGAAGGTATGTCTGAAAAGACTCTCATAGTTTTCTTTTCTCAAGCTCAACCAAGGGAAAGATCATTCGTAGCAGGCAGAGATCCTTCAGAAATCCTTGGCCATTGTGACAAACCTTAAAATACAACGGGAAATTCCTGAGTTGCCAGACATCTGTGCATAGAAAATGCATTTTTGTTATGGAATGAGAACCAAGCCAGCTTATTCTTGAAGGCCAGAGCCAAATTTGGGCAATAGTAGATCAAGCAAGAATCAGACTGACAATGCCTGAAAACTGTCTGCATCATTCTTTGATGCGACATAGTTCAGGTGAATATACAAAGTCAATTGAAAGGCAAATATGACCAGCTAGAACAGTCTCTCACTGCTCCTGCTACAAAGGAATTGGAGTAATTTTCCACTCAGCTGCTGGAAAGACAGTAAGTCATTAATTTGCTTTAAGTGATGAAATATTGGCTTTTTCCTTCTGGAGTAAAGTTTCAAGTGATAGCTAAAGATAAATTAATAAAGCACTTGCTTTGTTTCACTTTATATTTGGAAGAATGATATTTTCAAGTTGGATCTGTAGGAAAGGCCATCACTTTGGAAGTAGAGACTATGAAAAAATCCTTTGAAACATTTCACTAAAATTAATTGCAGTTATTTTTGGCTGAGTAAAAATGTTTAGTATTACTTTGTATTCTACCTTAAACAAATCTTGATGCCTTCTCAAGGAAACACAATACTTTTGGAAAGTTCACCTATTAAGGTGACTTAAAGTTAGGGTTTTAGTTAATTAGGGTTTTATTTTTAGATTTCCTCTTAAGGAAAATTCTGGTCCTATATAATAGCTGTCAAACAGGTCAAGAGTAGTAACAGGCTTGATTCCAAGTCAGCAAGAATAAACAGAAGAGGCTGTATATTAATACAATTAAGTTAGTAAACCTTTTCGTTATTCCTCTCCCCAAGGGAAACATTAGCGGAATTCAATTCAGCCAAGAAAAGAAATCCTATCATAGTGACTACAAAACTTGAACCTGGGATAAAATTCCATGTCACCTATTTAACTTAAAGTGCACTGGAGTCCTATATAAAAAACCAGTAACTTTTTTCAGTCCTTTTGGTGGAACAATGGGAAAGCAATAAAATGATGCTCCATAACAAGGGAAGTTTAAGATTCATCCTGAATCCTGATATCACTGCCCCCAGATCCCACCAACTACTGGAAAAATTTGTGAAGCAGCACAAAGCACCAGTAATGTGACCAGTCATTCAACAGGCATATCAGAAGTGATAGATCTCTTCTTCCAAAGCATGATTGACTTCCCCACGAAGGTGGCTGAAGGTGTTGTTCCGCAGGATTTGCCAACCACGGTGGAAGCTACTTAGAGTGGAGCTTCGTGAGACAGATGGAGATGGAGTTTCTTTCTTGAATTGGAAAGGTTCAGGTTGGTATAGTTTCCCAGAATACTTATCAAAAACCTCTTTGTCTTGGTTTCTAAATGCCTCTGCATAGCGTAACATCTTGTGCTTGCTGATATCCAGACGCTCTTCCACCCTGTGGAAAAGAGAGCAAATAAACGTAATGATGACTCATTTGTTTATTTTAGAGACCACCCAATTCCAGGTGACCCTGAGGGGGTAACGTTATAAAATAAAAACAGAAAGTAATGAAAAAATCCTAAAAGAACAAATGCCACACACTGCCCACTAAAAACATCATGAAAAAACATGCCAGGTTTAGCCAAGATTCCTCATTATGAAAACAGGTTCAAGGCCAGAACTAATCAATCTAACTCTCCAACAAGCGTTAGACGCAACAGTCAGATTCCAGATTCTGCTGCGATTGATAAAGCTCTCTATTATTTAGCTCTCCAGGCTTTGAGCCACAAAAATTCTGGTTTGAACCAAGGACTCGGTTTTGATAACATGGGAATGGGTGTACACCTGGCTGTAGGACATGTAAATCTGGACTTGGTAATAGTTAGGCAACTTGAATCCCGCAAAGTAGAAAGCAGTAATAGAATTACTGGACCAGGTTTGTATTATTATCCTTTGACTTCACATTTGAATGCCAATCTCAGATTCTGTCCTTAATTAGAAAACATAATTTTCAACTTGATATTTGCAAATAAGAAACAAAAAGCCTGTGTTTAAAAAGCTGGATATCAATTTAGCAGGAATTAAACAGGCTAGTGTTCTGTATCTGCTTGGTATAAACAGCTTTTTATTTTTCGGAGTATAAGACTCACCAAGGTTTTGAAGAGGCAATTTTTTTAAAAAAAGGTTTTGTACTCTGCAAACCTCCCAAAAATGGGCCATTTTTCATGAAAACGGGCCCTTTTTCAAAAAAAAGGGCATGAATAGCCCTTAGGTGGCTTGTAGAGTGTTCCTAGGGACCGGAGGGGGGATTTTTTGCTCATTTCTGTCCTCCCCAGTCCCAGGAGCTCTCTGAAAGCCTTCTACAGGCTCTGCATGGCCATTTTGGTGAAAGGGGGAGGGGGTCAGGAGGCACAAAAAAGGCTGTATTCAGTGTATAAGATGCACCCAAATTTTCAGCCTCTCTTTTGAGGGAAAAATGTGCGTCTTATACTCTGAAAAATTCGGTAATTGTATTAACTATACTGGAGACTATTCCTGTAGGCCATACACAACTAGGTAAAAGGAGTTCACCTGAGAAACCACTTGTCTCCTAACCCGTACTCTTGGCCACAAATACCAGACCGAGGCCAAAGACATCGTGGGAGTTTCCGTTCAAGCATGACTGTAGTAGCAACAACCTGCATGAAAGCAAACAGATTAGTTCAATCATGCCACAAAACCAGGTAAACGTTTGTATTCAAAAACAAAATAGAAAATTGTTCAAATACATCATTAGGTTTATAAGAATTCACTAAGTGGAACCAAAGTGTGTGGGGGGGGAAAGACCCATACAAATGGGACCAGACACAAAATCAAAAGCAACCATCTATTTTACAGTGCAATCTTCTGCTATAGTTAGAGATAGACAAGTACTCAAGATGGTTTATTTGGGAGTCTTGATCATCACCTGACTAGGTGATTTTTTCCCCCATGCTCTGTAAGGCGCCAGCCTCTGGATAAATCTGAGGCAACAACTGGTCCACAATGTGACAATAAGATTTTTGGTGGGCAGTCCATCCTTGCACAATAACGCCCGTCCTAAAATGGCCTCTGGACTCAGTTCAAAATGTTGATAATGACCTATAGAACCTTAGCTATGTAGCTCTAAGTCTTATCAGGCACTGCTTTGTCTGAATTAAATCCACCCATCCTGTGGGAGGACTGGAGTTAGGGGACATGCACAAGAAGCAATTCTACATCCCCATAAGTTTATAAAGCTCTCTCCCTATGGGATTTTTAAGATGACTAGAGATGGTACATTTTTACTAATTCTTCAATTGTACTAAATGCTAATGGTGTTGAGAGTCTTTTGATTTAATAAGGAATAAAACTGTTTTTTTACATAACAAATTCTCTACTGTGATGGAGGCTTCATGTGAATATAAACAATTCAGCTTTCATAAAGGAAAGCCGGGTTTTGAGGGAAATTCCCATAATGCAATCTGCTCACATAGGTACAGCCAGGTGCACATGGCTTAAGGGGGCTCCTTCCCCATCCCAATCATGTTCAGTGGCAAATGTGGTTATGCTTGAATTAGTTTATCTATTATCTCTGTGAAGTAGCTCTATCTTTATATATTTCATACAGTTCTTCAGATTTGTTTAATTTTGCATGCACTGGTACTCAGTTAAAACCACGAGCTAGCAAGTTATGTAAAATAAAGTTTCATGTATAAGAATTCTCCCTGACATAATTAGATTGTAGGCATGTGATTTCAAACTTTTCAGATTTCAGCTCAACAGCCATAGGCAAGAACATCCTGAACATAAAATAATCATTTTGTGTGTTCCAAACTAACAAGATACTCCATGTTTTGAAGTTCCGTCTCGAGTGAAAGAATGATTTGTGATTGGTTAGTTTCTTTTTAAAAATCCTCCAAACAAAGAGGTCTGGGAAGCTAATACAGCAAAGGCTGCACCCCTGTTGTCTTTATCTAGAACTGGTTCAGGAGGGAAAGGGAGAAGTGAGGGAGAATTAGTTAGACAATGTTCTGAGATTAAGTTACAGTACACGTTATCCTATAGCAAAATTAATTGGTTGTTGGTTAGTAATAGAGTGCTATTGCTCTGGGTTGTCTTAGCATGTGCACTGTGCTACTGTACTATTTAGCTGTCAGGTTGCCAAATGGAAAAATTAGGTTGCCTTGATATTTGAGATTTACAATGGGTACCAAGGGCAAAATGTATACATTGCTCATGTGCATTAGGTTGTGTGTATGTATGTGTGTGTGTGTGTGTGTCTTACCCACTGAAATATGTTTTTTCCTTTGTTAATGCTGTTCATAGGCTTTGTTGACACTAATTTATTTCTCTTGCTTCCTTTCTTGAATCATTTCTGTGGCTGTTTGTGCAAGGGAGTCACAGCCTGCACAGTCATACTTACTAGGTGATTCTGTTAGGTGCTATGAGAGGGTTTTTTTTTAAAAAAAATTAAGTGGCCAATTTTTCTGTAGCCTTGATGATAGGCACTCAGCGTGAATTACTCTGCTATCCAAATGAGTGTTTCCAAGATGAAAAATACGGGATAGAAGAGCTTGCTTTGAGTTTCTTTGTTCCTTATGGTAGAACACCCAAACTGATTATTGGTTTTTGAACATAGCCCTCTTAAGCATACTGATATAACATTCTTATAAAAAATGTTTCATCTTCTCAAAACAATTTCTCCCCTTTCATGCATAGGACAAGAAATCAAATGATTTTCTAACATAAAATAATTCTCCATATTTAGGGTGGGGAGGACCCAATTTTTTTGATGGGAGGGGAATAAGATAGATTAGACTTTATTTTCTGGATAGTTAATTAATCTGTAGCAGAAAAGAATTTGACTGACAGAGCATGCTACAACAGGAAGTGGCATTTGCAGTTTGTAGAGTACAACATTAGTGCATTGGCAGGAATGAGAAAAAGGATATGGGGGAATAATCACAGTTGCATGTAAGTATCTTTCAAATTGTTGTACCTTATTTTTAGCTTTAACTATTCAAAAATAACCTCAACATTACATTGTGTTGTTATGAGCAATTCGAAAAGACTTTCCAGCTATTAAAACTGCACATTACCTATAATCAAAAGGGAAATGGATTGAATGTGATATAACATGTTTACATAGAGGTGAGTCCCACCAGGTTTGTTGTGAGCTCAATGTTTTACACAGGTTGCAGCCTTGATTCTAGAAACTAATTGTGAGGCCTTTACATTGTCTCTGGACTCAGTTCTTTAAACATGAGTACATTGTCATTTCTTCCTTCACTAGCCATGCACAGCAGATCTGAATCTGTAAATTTTTCATTCATATCTGCAAGCCCATATGCTGAAAAGTATGCATTCATTAAATGAACTGGAATGAATTAGAATTACATATTAATTTAGCAACTGCTTCTAGCTGAGTGTGATGATGGTATTGTCAATAGTGGAAAATATAATTATTTGGAAAGAGTTAACGTTAAATTAGCACCCAGCTAATAGTAGTGAAATCGATAACAAAACTTTACAGCATAAGGGCATATCAGTATTATAATTTTATTTTATCTGTTGCCGTTCTACCGAATAAATAGCTGTTCTCTTACCTCAGCTGCCTCACGCCTCTTCAATTAATAATGAACTTAACACTGGGAACTAAATCAGTTGTAAAGTGATCTAAATTTCCACTGCACACATGTCCAAAGCAGCAAAAATAGATGACTTCTCAACAGACTGCACTGCAGGACTATAATCTCACCTGTGCTCGCCAAAGCTCATCCCGTTCATTGGCTACTCTCCAATGAGTGTCACCCATCATGGCAATGAGCAGGTTGAGCATGAGCAAAGCAGCAATGATAGCAAACGCAGCATACACCACACAGAACACGAATGGAAGATCCACATCATAGTTGGCTGGTCCATCTATGATGGTGAGGAAGAGCTCAAACGTACTGAAGAGAGACATGGGATAATTGTAGAACTGTCCCAGATTGCTTGGATTTTCTGTCTGAAAGATGATGTAGAAAGCTGTTGATGAAACAAAAACGAGCAGTCAGCTACATATACATAGTATATACACTCACACACGTACAACCAGATAATGGCATCCTCATCTTATGCTCTTCCTTTCAACTACTCTGCCACAAGAATCTTAATTCCTTATCTCTCTTTCTGCTGAGGTTTTCTCTATGAGTTTACTTGTCCTGAAGGTTAAGATTTTTCTCATGAAAAATCTAAGGCTGGCATGTAAATTCTTTTCTTCCATAACGTGAATAACTGGATACTGATATTCAATGTTACGGAAGTCCCACAAAAGCAGATGAGAAGCAGGCAATTTTAAACATGTGATATGCAGTTATGGATGAAAAGTTGCAAAATCTGTCATTAGGTGTGTTCGATAGGCAACAATGTGAAATAATATATTTTATAAAAAAAATATGGGGAAGCCAGAATAACAGAAGGCTCAGGGTAAACCATCATCTAAAATAATGGCTTTTAGACTTTGTATCTTAAGAACATTCTGTTCTTAAAAGGTTGCACAAGAAACCTCAGTACATTTCCTATAGAATTTCCAAACATAAGACTCATGCTAGATTAGAGCAAAGGATCTGTTCTTCTCTGTTTTAACAATGGCCATAAGACGGACAACAATTTATTCTATTTATTCATCCATTTCTTCCACTAATATTTAGGAGCATATTGCCCCCAAATTATTACACATTTTGGATGAATTCATTTTAACAAGGGCTCCCAACAGACTGATAACAACATTTCCTGCTATTTATTCCTCCATTTTTCCAATAATATTTAGGCGCATACTGCCTCCCTCTCCAAATTATAAGCATTTTATTCGAAGAAGACACCAGTCAATATTGCTAAGCTGGTATACTGGTCACATTCACTGAACATATGTCCAGCACTCCCATGTGCATGACAGTGAAATACCAAATAATTTATGTTTTAGATTGCATTATCTGTTAATATTGTTTTCTTGCTATGGCACTCCTTAAAATCCCAAGGTTTTTAGGAAAGCCATTGCTAATACAAAAACATGGGTACATATTTTTTTTAAAAAAATGGAAATATAGAGGATTTTTTCCCCCCACTGGAGAAATGATTCTCAGACTGCACATGCAAAGAATACTGGAATAATCTTGGAAGTTCACATCTTCCTCTAGAGCTTACCTGAGGCAAAGCCAAGTATGACAACAGCCATTAGACCACAAAAACGTATAAGGTCACCAAATATCATCTGTAGATAAGATAAAACAACAATGTTATTATGTCTAACTTTTCTCCAGCTCTCCTTTGCCCACTATTGTCTGACCTTTAAATTCTCAGTTCCAATTATCAGAAAAGGTGTACTTCTGAGAAAAATTCAAGTAGCTCTCAATTTACAACTAGTCATTTAACAACTATTCAAAATTACAATGGAGCCACCCAAAAGCTACTTACAACCTTTGAAGTTACAATAGCCACACACAAACACCCTTGCAGTCATGTGATTGCGTTTTGGCTGCTTAGCAACCAGCTCGGTTTTATAGCCATTTGCAGCATTCCTTGCCATTGTGACATTTCTTGCGAGTTTCTGGTGTTGAATTCCAGTTTCTGACAAATCCCCACCCACTCACTGGGGGAAATTGATTGGTTTAATCACTGTGACATTTGCTTAACAAGTACCACACAAACTATTGCAAAATCGATTCGTTCATGCAATGACTTGACTTATGACTGCATCACATCCGTTAATTGTAGGCTCACTTATAGTTGTAAGTTGAGGGCTACCTGTGGAATTCTTTCTCAGTTTGACTTCAGTTTTTAGCTTCACTTTCCTTACCTTCTGTATCATGATGGTGAAAGGCCCAAGCATCTGAAATCCTCGTGCAAAGTACATGACGTTGCACCAGCCTAACACCAGGGCAATGGACATGGGGACCACTTCTCCTTCTGTGCTGGTCAGTCGCATTGCCATGGTTACCAGAATCACACAGGCATAGGTGATGCTGTAAATGGACAATATAACTAAGTGAGAATGAGTAATTAATACAACATAAAATTAATGAAGACAGAATTGAGCCCTAAACATACATGAGCAGACAATGCATGTAAATATATGCTGATGTGCATTCATAGAAAATTATGTCTCTTTATTCCCTTTTGCTGGAACAAGGCATTTCTTGTGAAAAATTGTTTGTTGTCAATTTTAATGCATCTCAAGTTGAAACATCTCAGGAATTTCCATTTTTTTCAGGAGATTTAGCAGTCAAACACCCCCCCCCCACCACCACCAGACAGAACATAAACAGATGTTAAGGGAGACAAATCTGCAAAGAAAGAAATCTAGGTTTGAAGCAAATAGAAGTGGAAGAGAAAAATGGTGAAAGGAAGATCATAATGGCAGAGTATACATAAGAAAAAAAAGAGCATTTGTGAGTTTTGGAACTGTAGAGTCTCACATTATTATGTGAAAAGGTCCTCCCAGGATAGTTTGTCCAAAGTACTTTGTGGCTCCAACTCTTAGAATATCTGGAATCTATTAAAAAATGAAATATGTGTCAAAAGTTTATAACCAACTGAGGACTGAATTCACCAATGTGCTGAGTCTACCTCTAGAAATTGACTCAACAATACAGAGAGTTCACAACGTATTTTGTGCCCAAATCAAGGAAAACAAGCCGTTATGAGGACAATGCTGTTAATTGTCCTTATGATCACAACTGAGCTCAAAATTTCTGTTGTTAAGTGAGACATTTGCTAAGTGAATTTTGCCCCATTGTATGACCTTCCTTATTATGGTTGTTAAATGAATCACTGATAAGTTAGTAACCCAGTTGTTAACTGAATCTGGCTTCCCCATTGACCTTGCTTGTCAGAAGGTCCTAAAGAGTGATCATATGACCTTGGGACATACCAACGGTCATAATATGAACCAGTTACCATTACCTAAATTTTGATCATTGTGATCATGGGAATGTTGCAAAGGGCATAATTGTAAAAAACGTTCGTAAGTCACATTTTTTCAGTGCCACTGTAACTGAATGGTCACTAAACAAACCGTTGTAAGTCAAGGACTACCTGTACTTGACATGATTTTATAAAGAGAAACCTATACACTGCAACTATTAGCAATCAAAAATGTCATCTGCTTTTCACTAGTAGCAACACCTTGATAAGTCAACAATCTAAACCACTTCATGTTAGAGTAGTAATTTTGCAGAATAAAGACATTAAAAAAATATTTTAATATTAGTGATTAAGCAAGCAAAATGTGAAAAGATGTTAAAATGCTCCAAACTGGGTACAATTTAAAATATGAAATGCCTTAAGCCTGTAAAATTTAGTAAGACAGGGATTTAAAGAAATGGATTCAAATTGTAATATTGATCAATTATTTTATTACAGTATATGCAGGTCCTGCTAACAATTACTGGCTATATTCATCCACAATCAGCTCATCTATTACTTTAACTATTTCCAAAAAAAAAAAAAATTAACTCTGGATACTTCCCAACAGGGAAGTCAGAAGTACAGGTAGCATAGGTAACATCGTGTTTTTCAAGACAATTATATTGATTTCAGATAACATATGATTGCTTAGGTATACAGTGTCTCTCCAATGGCAGATAGAACTGCCAATCTGATGTTGGTAAATTTTAATGAAGATCAGTTTAATAGAACTTTATTATTTTGCCCTTACCTCTAGGAGTAAAATTGCCATGGCTCCAATCACTGTAATTAACTCTCCCACAAGCCTGAGTTGATCCTCATATGTCAGATATGATTCCTAAAAACAGGAAAATATCCTAATTAAGGAGATGATAGAGATCTGAAAAACCTGGAACTTGTGTCATCAAGACGTTTAATTTATTTAGTGTACTATAATTTAATTATTTCTCTTTTGGCAATACTGATTTGATAGTGAAACTGTTATTGGAAAGATGAGCCAATAGATGACTTTGCAACAAGTAACATTCATTACCAAATATTTCCTGAACATAGAAACCAAATACTGTAGGCCAGTGAAAGAACAAGAGTAGAATATTTCCCCTGGTACCTTGCTTTTATAGCAGGGAGTGTTGTAAAGAAATGCTAATTTCCATTTACAGATTGAAGAGATACAGTTGAATACAAGGTAAGATCTTTCATTTTTTAATCTTTCATCTAAGAAATGTGGATTATTTGTCCTTGCATCAGGTGAGAATGACTCATTCAAGAGAGGCTAGTGAAAGCCAGAGCCTTGCTGGCAAATTCAGTGATTTCTTCTTATCTTTAAGCTGCTCTCACAGTTGTGGCAGCCTTTTTCTTCACGGCCTCTTGGAGCATTTTCAAAAAGAGGTTTTGCAAAGTTTAACATTTTATTTAACTGTGTTGTTGATTCTTCTGCACTGCATTATGAAAACAGTTATTTTACAATTTGCCTAGATTCACAGAGAAACCTGTAGTTATACAGCAATATACCTGCAATGTTTTCTGCACAATGATGGTGTTATCCCGCTTGTTTGTTTGATTCTCTGAGCGACTTTTCAGTGGTCTATAAACGCAGCACATGGTGAAGCAAATCATATAGAGGACATAAAACAGAGCCAGGAAACAGAAATAAGGACGCCCGTATGTATTCCACTTCAGGTTCACAAGCTCCTTCACAGGAGTAATATCTAGTATACGGCGAGCCTGGAAAGAAGAGGCAGGAAGAAAAAAAACCTAGGAATTAACTCTAAAAGTCCCATATTTCAAAAATTAGCCACTGGTGTGGTCCTAATAAAATATTCTTACAAATGTATCTTTATTTTATATATTGGGGGCACTTATATACTTTCTTTCACAAAGAACTGCAAGGCAGTATTCCAAGAAAAATAAAAATAAGATTAAAAACAGGAGAAAGACATGTGAACTTTCAAAAGAAAGGGCATTCCCTAATTGGAGAGCAGTTAGAGAGGGGAGGGGGGTTCTTCATGTACTCCTGAGAAAACTATGCCTCTTCTTTCAAAAGGCCTCTACTGCATAATCAGCAGGTTTATACATTGTTATATGTTCCTCATTCGTCAGGCACTCTCACTGTTTTATTTAAGTTAATATATATTTAAGGTCTCTCCCTTTGTTCAAATCAACTGCTTGACTATATATTGCATTGATTAGCCAATGATAGATAAGGGGATTTTTTTTTAAAGAATCAAATACTTTATTTGATCAAGTGTGGTTAGATACACAAGGCCTTTGGTAAGATTAGATTGAGCAATCTTGGCAGGCCTGGGCCAGATAGCTAGCTCCTCTAAACTCTCACAATTTATTTAAAAGATTAGATACAATTTATGTCCTGAGTCTCATTCTGTCTCTGCCTCCCAATCAGAATTTATTCTTATTATTTTCTTTTGCATTCAAATGTCTATCTATTTGTGTTTCGATTCATATAACTTTCAAGATGGGTAATATTGTAGGGCCCAGAGTTTAAAATTTGTAAATTGCAATCACGGATTACTTAGTATGATCCATTATTTCATTATTCCAGGACTCCTGAGGGATTAGCCAGGATTGGGACATACCCAAGTTAATGTCCCTCAGGGGGTCACTATTGGTCCTGGGCTCCTCATGCGCTACCACCTGTTGTAACACCCTACGACCAAATGCCGCATCAGCCGATGCAAACGCGTCTAACCTGTAGTGCCTGATAAAGGGAGATGGGGAGGCTCATGTAGCTGCCCCGCAAATCTCCACTATAGGCGCCTGTGTGGCCCAGGCCGCCGAAGTAGCCGCAATCCTGGTGGAGTATGCTGTGATGCCATGGGGCACCGGAAGGTGCTGAACCTCATAGGCCAATGTGATGGCCAGTTTGATCCACCTCCCTATAGCCGAGGAGGGCACCCTCTTCCCCAGGGAAGAAGGATAAAAGGAAACAAAGAGTGCCTCAGACTTCCTGAGGCTCTCCGTGCGCCTCAGGTAAATGCACAAGACACGCCTGACATCCAGCCGGTGCCAAAGGCGCTCCCTATCATGAGACGGGTCCAGACAAAAATCCGGTAATACCACCTCCTGTGATATGTGGAAAAGGGAATTAACCTTGGGAATAAAGGTTGGATCCAGACGACCCGATTATTGTGAAATGTGGAAAGAGCCGACCTGGAGGACAACGCCCCCAGTTCAGAGATGCGACGGACTGAGGTGACCGCCACAAGGAACACTACCTTAAGGGTTATGAACTTCAGGTCAACCGTCCTCAGAGGGTTGAATGGTGCTCCTGTCATTGTTTGGAGAACTGTAGTGAGGCTCCATGTCGGAAAACTGTGGACAACCGGGGGATGGAGATTCCCTGCACCCTTCAAAAACCTCTTAACCTGGGAAAGTGGAAGGAGCTCCTCCCCCCGAATAATCATGGAGAGGGCCGCCACCTGTCTCCTGAGGGTGTCATGTGAGAGCCCCTATCCAATCCGAAAGCTTGCAAAGATTCGCTCCCGAGATCCGGTACCACTCTGCAAAGACCCACCAGGTAGAATCATAAATCCTAGTGGTGGAACCCTTGCGTGAAGCCTCAATTGTGGAGATCACCCTCTGTGAAAGCTGGGCAGCCCTTAGGTGCTCCCGCTCAATCTCCACATGGCTAGTTGCAGCCACTGTGGCTCAGAATGCACCAGGTTCCCCTGTCTGAGGTCCACATCCCTCCCTGGAATCCTCCATGGGTCTGACACTGACAGGCACATTAGGTCCGCAAACTATGCCTGGCGCGGCCAGTAGGGTGCCACTAAGATGAGCTCCGCCTTCTCTGATATCACTTTCCAAACTACCCCAGGGAGAAGGTGAAGGGGAGGGAAGGCGTAGAGCAGGTTCTCTGGCCATGGAATCCGAAGCTGTTGACTCCCTCCGTCCCCCGAGCCAGGAACTGAGAGAAGAACTGATCCACCTGAGCGTTCTGCGGTGTGGCAAACAGGTCCACCTTCAAATGGCCGAACCTGGAGCAGATAGCCTGGAACAGTTTTGGAGAAAGGCTCCACTCCCCATTGTCGACCATGGCCTGACTGAGCCAGTCGGCTTGATGATTGTTCACTCCTGTGATGTGCTCTGCCCTGAGCAATTGAAGATGCTTCTCCACCCAGGCGCCGAGTGCCATCGCCTCAGTTCGAAGAGCCCTAGAGTGTGTGCCACCCTGTCGGTTGACGTGGGCCTTTGCCGCCACGTTGCCAAGACATCTTGATCCTGAACATGATCCTTGAAGTGCCACAATGACAAGTGAATCACTCACAGTTCCAGCCAATTTATATTATGTTGGAGATCCAACCAGGTTCAATGCCCCTGCGCCATCCAGGAGTCCAAGAGAGCTCCCCACCCGTACAAGCTGGCATCCATTGTCAGGATGAGGCGCTCCGGCTCCCTAAACTCGCAGCCCTCGGGTAGCGCTGGGGAGAGCCACCACCTCAATGACAGCTGCACCTGTGGTATCACTGGAACCTTTTCCTTGAAATTGCTGGAGTTTGACCTCTGATGCGGCAGGAGATGCCACTGGAGCGGCCTCGCGTGTAGACGAGCCCAAGGTACCATGTCTATGCAAGAAATGAATTTCCCCAGCAAGCTGGAGAGCACTACTACAGGAACAAAACATTGACTTCTAACTTGTCTAACTAAGGCTAACAAACTATCTTTATGGTCATGGGACAGAAACACCTTCTCCAGCTTAGAGTCTATGATGGTCCCCAGATGAGGAATCCTAGTGGCGGGAACAAGGGAACTCTTATCTAGGTTAACCGAAAAAACTAACTGCTGTAGTGAATGCCACCAACGAGAGATCCTTCATCACCTGCTCAAATGATGCTGCTTGGACTAAGATGTCATCAAGATA